GCTTTGATGGATTAAAACTGGATTGGAGCCTGCACTGGAACCTGGCTGATTGTAGAAGATTGTGGAAAGTCTCCCAGGATACAGTTTTGATTCTCCCTGGCTGTAAAGGCAGCTTGGAGGCAGTCTGGCACTGGTGTAGGGAGGCACAAAGGAAAATAGAAGGGGGTGGTCTCAGGGTGGGCCCTAGCACACTGTGTCAGGGCTCTAACCATATCAGGAGTTTCATCTAGGGGAGAAGGATGGAAGTGCCCAGAGCAGGGGTCCTGCTCTCTCCATATTGGAAGGAGGATTCTGGCTAGGTCTCAGCTAGATTGGAGGGTGGATCCCAGCATGGAAAAGACAGGCAACCACAGGTTTAGTAATCCTAGCCAACATCATGGCCCCTGGTACACAGATGCATACACAGTCAGTGAGACACCCAGTCTCTGCCTTAAACAGATTACAAGGCAAGGTGGGAGAGATCCAGAAGCTCACTTAGGATCACCCTGCAGGTTGGCAATAGAGCTAGGGTTGAAACTGTTCTGTTGAAGTCTATTCCAGTGCCCCCCCAACTAGACCCACCCTCACAGTCCTGGAGACCTCCCCTAGCCATGCAGTTCAGGACAGATCTCAGCTAGACCATACTCAGCAACAAAAGATACAACCCAGCGTTTGCATTCAGGCTTGTTGCTTTTGGTGAGGGGGACCTAAAAACAAGCCCTCCATGAAACAAGGAATTTGGAGGGTCTGGGCTGCTTGCTGGCTTTGGAGCCTGTACCAGACCCTATGTGACTCTTCCACTGTGGGGCTTAGTAAGTATTGAAGTCCTCCCTTCCCATGGGGCAGTGACCAGTGTGGGTGGCTGGCAAGTGTCAACCTCCACTGTCTGAGTGCAAGGTGTGTTAGCCTGTACTCCCATACTGGAGCTGTCATGTCACAGAGCCAGTTACTTTATCTTTGCATTTGACCCTTTGAAGCAGAGCTGGACTTTTCAAGACTAGAAATCTGGAAGAGGGATTGAGGGAAGTGTTAGTTGCAGCTGCCCTGGAACAAAAATAGTCTGTTCTCTTCTTGTTGAAACAAGACCTAGAAAACTCCTTTTGCTGTGGGTGAAACAAAATGCTTTCTCTCAACTGACACAACGGGCTGGGGGGTTAACCTTTTTATTTTCTTCATTACATTGGAGAAAATTTGGTCTTGAAAATGCCATTGCAAAACAAGGAGTAGAGTTGCATCACGTGTCACAAGGAATCAAACTGAGTCAAACGCTGAAATGAAAGGTCACCCCCTTTCTCCCCCTTGGTTATTTCACAGTCAAAGCTAGTCACTAAATTCAGCCTGAGGCTTATGGAGGTGAAGTGAGGCTGCGCAGTAGGCCCAGAAGTAAAACCAAGTTCTTTTGACTCACCCCCCAGTAGCTGTAGACTATACTGCCTTCCCATGGTTTTGCCCCTCTAGTCCTGGGAGCTGTCTCACTCAGTACGGTGTTTCTTCTGCCTGTTCCTGCAGCCAATCCACAATGCCTGCTGCACCTACTCCTCATGCTCTGTCCAAAGGGCTGCTTATATTGCAGCCTGGTGCAGAGATACTGGGGCTACCTTCAAGCAAGCCAACTTGGATGCCAGTAGTAGTCTAGCCACAGCAGCACAGAGCTTTGCCTGGGCTAAGTTACCCTGCTTCTGACTGTGTGTGGCAGCAGTTCACTAGTCATCACCACCAATCATCAAACTCAGCTGGCATTGTCACCTTCAAGCAGGCAAGAACAGTGAAAGTTCTGCCTAGGAAGGGGCTGCAGGATTGGTCCTTTGAAACCATAATCTGTAGCTTGATCCTGTGAGTCCCAGGTGAGAGTAGCATACAGGAGGCCAGCAGTCCAATCCCAATATGGCTGGTGAGCTGAGGCAAGCCATTCTCCCTGTCTGTGCCTCTGGTTCTCCATCGATCATGAGGCTTATAACACTTTGCAACTCAGAAAAGACCTTTGAGATCAGCTGTTGAGACATGTGAGCTGAGGGATGGGTTTTGTCATGCTCATGGAGGAAAGGTGGACTGATGTTTGGAGGGGCGCTATATATAGAGGAATTCTGTATCTGGTAACAAAGAGAGTGAGGCTGCCTCTGACCTCAGAAAAGTCACTTGTATGTGCCTCAGTTTCCCTGGCAGTGCAATAGGGAGTGACAAGCTGTGCTGGAAGTTGCTGAGGGGGGAAATAGCTCATGTATGTGAAGTATTTTGAGTACTGCAGTGGGGGAGGCACTGTTCAAAGGTACTGCTTTACTGGGATGCGGCAGTGATAGTCGTACCTATGGGGCTCCTTGCCTTTCTCAAGCCCCAGCGGGCTAACAGACAGTGGGAAGGCAGGCCAGGAGCATCTTCATGGGATTGAAAAGCTGTTTTTTTTTATAGAAGAACAAAATCAGGAATGGGGTTTAGAGCAGGCTGGGATGTGGATAGTGTTAACCTAACACCACTGGGCTGGAAGCAGGAGTTGAATGGGAAGTCTCAGGGAAATCTTTGGGCTTTATAGACTGTGGTCCTGTGAAGACACGCTGCCTGCTGACTTAGTGCCTCCTCCCAGGGCCAGAGAGTGATGTGCTGCTGGAGGGGCTGGGTTGGGGATGAGGCATAAGCCCTGAGCACTTTTTGCAGGACTAGGGGCTCACCCCAGTGTGTTGCCCATTTTCCACTTGGACCTGGCTGCCATCAATCCCTTTCTCACGCCAGCTGCTGCAGCATCACTCTCGTTTTACCACTGTGCAGTCTGTGATGAGGTCCTGTCTACATGAGGAGTGTTTCGCACCAGAACAGCTGCACTGATGAAACCAAACCAGCAAGAGCCTCAGCACCAGTGGGCTGCATTGGTGTGAAGTGGGCTCTGTGCTCCCTCTGTGTAGAGAGGACCTGACTGGTGCCCTTGTGGCTTCCACACCAAAGGAAGCTGCAGTCTGGTGATGGTTCCCTTTATATCTGAAAGCAGAACCACATATGTGGTGCAAACTAAAGGGATCCCAGAGCCTGAGTCAGTGGAGGTCTGTACCAGTTGAGTGTCCAGCTGAGGCTTACTCCACCCTTATTTTACATTCCTCCAGGCCCCATGTAGGAGAAAATAAGCTTCAGTGGTTATAAAGCACCACAGCTCCATTGATGACCAGGTTTTCTACAATGTTCACAGGGGTGTTAGGGCAGCTCAGATGTTCTGCTGTGGCTCCAGAAGGCTGTAGATGGGCACCTGGCCATTGAAGCTGGGGCATCAAAGGCAGATGGATGCACTGGAGCACCAAGGAGTGCTGTAGCAATCCTCATGTCCAGCTGCCTTGGGCTCCCCAGTCTCAGTGACCAGGTGTCCATTCACAGCTGGACTGACTTGGAGGAAGGGTTCATGAGTATGAGCCCAGAGCAAGGCATTGCACTCCTTCCTTCTGGAGTGAGTGGTGTGAATAAGAGGAGAATTAGTCCCAAGGTGTTTGAATACAGCAGATTCAGGCTTTGTCTTTGCTAACCCAGCACCCTCTCCCCACATCCACCTCCAGTGGCTGGCTGCGAGGTGTATCATGTCTCTGGAGTGCTCTTGTTTTGTGTGTACTTGGAAATGACTCTGCTTCTGGGTAGATAATGTGCTTTGCTCCCCTTGCCGATGTGCTTTCTCATCCATCCTTTCCATCGCAGCATTGACCCTGGCTTTGTCTCAGCATAATCAGCAGCATGTCCCTGGCATGAACTGCCTGAATGCCTCCGGCTTTGTTCTTCTGCCACAGGAGGGTGTGAGAGAGAGAGGAGACAGAGAAGAGACAGTGAGAGAGGGGAGCCAGAGGGAAGTAGACGAATGAATGCAGGAGGAAATAGAGAGCAGAAGAGAGTGAGGTGGAGAGGGAGAAAGGAGTGGAGAAGTAGAATAGACTCACAGGGAGAGGGGAAGAGACGTGTGCCAACAGCCACCTCCTCAGACTGACGTAGGGTCCTTCTGTCAGCAAACAGAAGTGTGTCCCGTGCAATACACAGAAGCCTAACCTTTTGTGCTGGGCAGCAGCACTGTATGAAGGAAGAGGCCGAGATTCTTGATCTTCTAAGTGTTATGGCAAGGAACCAAAAAGTGAGGTTCCTGTAGGCTGATGCAGTGACCATGGCATGCCACGCTGGCCTCCCCCACCCTAGGAATTAGGGGCATTGGGGAGCGAGCCTCAGCCCCTGCTCCCTTCACCACACAGAGGCTGCTGCAGCCCACCAAGAGCTGCTATGCCATGTGCTGCTCCAGTCCCAGAGTCTCCTCCTAAGCAGAGTCACTCCTTTCTGCCTAGCCATTCAGAGTCCTGTAATGCAAATCCATTTTTCTTGAAGGATGGTGCAGGAGCAGCTGCCCAAACCCTTGGGGAGCCTGGCAGGGTCCCAGCTATTTGCATTAAAGCTTCTCTACCAGTACAGGCCTCACAGGGCTGGAGAATGGGATGTGTTACTCTTGGACCCAACCACGGCAACAGAAAATAGCCAAAAGGTTTCAAAAACCTAAATGAAAACATTGCTTGGGTTTGGTTCTGGTGTTTGCTGAAGGGGAGGTTGGGAAGGAAAGGTAGGTTCTTGTGTTTGCTGGCTTGGCTTACCCGCGTCCACTACAAAATGAGGCAAAGACCCAGCAAACTCATGTCACTTGTGGCCTTGTGCGAACTTAGCCCATGCAGGGAGGAAATGTGATGGTAACCCACAATTTTACAGTGTAGTTCACTGTCTCCTGCTAGTGGCTGCAGCATTGAGGGGGTTTGAGTTGCCTGATGGATATGAGAGACTATCTTTTAGTTGAGGCAGTAGAGACTCAGGCTTTCAGATGCAAAAATTTCAGATTCAATCTGGGCAGCTGGTGACTTACCCAGGGACGCAGCTCAGTTATGCTAGTCTGCTTGCCTGCTCTGCTCTTTACCCCTGCCGTGGTGATGGTGAGTGGTGACTCCTTTCCCTCTCCAGCAGGGGCAAGGGCAGGAGCAGCTGCCCCACCCAGCTCTCTCCTGACTTCTCTCCACCTCCATTCACAGGTGGTGAGCCAGATCGACAAGCTGACCTCTGATTTTGAGTTTGAGCTTGAACCGGATGACTGGACCACCGCGACCGTGAGCAGCACATCCAGCAGCGAGAAAGGGGGCGGCACGTTCGACCTCGGGCAGCTGGATTTCATGACCTCGGACATCCTCTCTGACAGCTGGGAGTTCTGCTCCTTCGTGGAGGTGTCCACCCCCTCGGACTCTGGGGACGGCTCGGAGCAACAGCAGCAGCAGCAGCAGCAGCAGCAGGGCCGTCAGCCTGACTACAGACTCATGAACGGTGGGGTGCTGATCCCCAACGGACCCCGGGTAGAGACACCTGACTCCTCTAGCGAGGAGGCCTTCAGCTCTGTCCCCAACCACAAAACCCACTCCCAGAGGACACCAGGCACAAGGGAGCGCGTCCGCTTCAGTGACAAGGTGCTCTACCACGCCTTGTGCTGTGACGATGATGAGGACGGTGGCAGTGAGGAAGGCAACAGCGGGCCACCGCCCTCCGAGGACGTTCAGGAGGAGCCCAGCGAGGCAGGACACAAGCCACCAGCAGGACCTGCCTCCAAGGTGCCCCCGTCATCCCTCCGGCACCCCCCTCACCTCAGCGCCGCGCAGCAACGCAAGTTGACGCGGAACAGCAGCACTCAGACAGTGTCGGACAAGAGCACCCAGACGGTGCTGCCGTACGTGTCGGCCAAGCAGAAAATCAAAGGCAAAAACTGAGGAGAGGGCACAATCAGAGTGATGGGACCAACTGGAGCAGGGAAACGAGGGGATGGGGTGGGAGGGACATAAATATATATATATTTAAATAAATCAATACTGATAATAAAATCAACATGAAAAGGTGGAAACTAATAATAATGTCCAACTACCTAACCATCATTTTTTGAGGCTCAGGGAATTTTAAACTGTTTTGCTAAACAAAAGATTCAGCTAAATAAACCGTACAGAATGACAAAAATAATATAATACACACACGCGCGTGCGCGTAGAACGAGAGACACCCCCCGTGGAGAAGGCAGGAGGGGAACAGAGCTGGCCATGCAGCTGATCTCATTTATGAGGCTTTTGGGTGGATCCCACAATCAAAATGTGGTACCTCCTTCAAGTAAGGGTTGCAGACAAACTGAGTCAAGCAGGGCTGAGAAAACTAGTTGTGGGGTGGAGGGAGCGTCCAAGTGAGGTATTAAGACTGAAGGATCACCACATAACAGAAAGCCAAATCCACTCCCTTTGCTACTGGGTTGCATCTCAGCATACCAGAGTTTGAGCCAGGTTATGAAATTCAGATCCACCTCTGTTGCTTGATGAAACCTCCCCTCTCCTAATTCTGAAAGAAATCATCCAGTTAGAAACTTGCTTATTCATAAGACTGCAATATTTTGTTACGTTACATTTTTACGAACAAATCAGTTTCAGAATGGCTGGACCCCAGACCAAGTCAGTTTTCTTAGCCTGTCAAAATGTTTTTTGTCTTCCAACCCAGGTCAATGAGCAATTTCTGTTCGTTCAATAAATGGTTTTCATGCCAGCCAGATTTTGCAGGTCATTTGGTCAAATGGAAATCAAGTCCTGGTGGGGGTGGGGGGTTGGGAAAGGAGAAAGGGAGAATTAAATATTAGGGAAAAAAATGATTCCCAGGTAATTCTGGTTGGACTTTGATTCTCATTGCTTGGTTCTCTTCTCACTTCACACCAGTTTCAGAATCACAGAAGAATAAGACCTCAGGAGGTTGCATCTAATCCAACTCCTTGCTCAAGGCAGGATCATCCCTGTCTAAACCATTCCAGGCAAGTGCCTGTCTAACTTGATCCTGATCTTAAAAACTCCAAATGATAAAGATGCTACAAACTCTCAAGTTAACTGGTTCCAGTACTTAACCATCTTTATAATTAAAAAGTTTTTTTTTTCTAACATCCAACCTAAATTTCCCTTGTTGCAATTTAAAACAGTTACTTTTTGTCTTGTATCTTCCAGACATGGAGAATAGTCTATCCCCAGCATCTTTATAACCATCCTTCATGTATTTGAAGACTGTTATCAAATCCCCCTTGGTTTTCTCTTCTTCAGGGTAAATAATCTCAGTTCTTCCAACCTTTTCCATGTAAGTCATTTCTTTTAGACATCTAATCAATTTGCTTGCTCTCCACTGGACTCTTGCCAATCTGCTCATATCTGTCTTGAAATGCAGTACTCTGCAATACTTTTAGCTGGACAGAGTACTTCAGACGAGTATGACTAGCCTGGGTCACTCCTGTTAATACATGGCTATACACTATTAGCCTTTTTTGATAACATTATTACACTGTTGACGCATATTCACAAGTTGATCCACTGTAACGCCCAAGTTTTAGTCTGCAACACTGCAGCCTAGCCAGTCACTTTCCATTTCATGTTTGTGCATTTGATTGTTCCTTTCTCTTTCTGGGTGTTCACGTATGTCCTCATCTGATTTTATTTGATTAATTTGGACAATTTTCCAATTTTTGAAGGTCAGTTTGACTCCTAATCCTATCTTCTAATTTATTTGCTACTCCACCCAGTGTGGTTTCATTCACAAATTTATTAAGTGTGTGAACTCAGTTTCATCCTCCAAGTTATTAATGAAGATACCGAACAGTACTGGACTAAAGACAGATCCCTAGGTAATTTCACTTGATACCTCCCCCCGAGTTTAGATATTGATCCCTTGATGACTGACTACTCTTTGAGCAGGTTATTAGCCAACCAGTTATGAACCCAATTTACAGTAGTTTCATCTAGCCTGCATTCCCCTAGATTACTTGTAAAGAATGTCATGGGAGACAGTGTCTAAAATCTTATGAAAGTGATTAGATTTTACATCCATTGTTTTCCCCCCATCCACAAGGCCCATCACCTTGTCACGGAAGGAAATCAAGTTGGTTAGTCATGACTTACTCTTAATAAACCCATGCTGGCTGTTTCTTATCACCTTGTTATCCTCTCGGTGCTTACTAATCAATTGTTTGGTAATATGCTCCAGTATCTTTCTGGGTATAAGTGTTATGCACCAGCATAATGCTGCTAACTTCCCAGGAGCCAATCCTGATATCTACCAAGGAGTGTGAGAAGATAATCAGCATCTCATTTCATTAGATCTCAGGAGAAAGCCCCAGGTGCTTAAAGCCTTGATTTGAGAAACATCCCTTAAATACATGCTTAATTTTAAGATCATGCTTAAATCACATTACCTAAAAGTCACATGCCACAGATTTCCACTGCAACTTATGCGCATGGTTAAAATCAAGCATGTGTGTAAGTGCTTTTCTGAACTGGTGCCTTCAGGGGCCAGATGCTGATGTACTTATAGGGGTATAAATCTGGAGTAGCACTGTTGCCTTGAACAGGATTATCCCTGATTAACGCATGGGATTTGCCCATTCAAATCATAGGTGCAAAAAAGGCACTTGTGATGTGTGCAAGCTGGTGAGGGTACAGAACATGCAGCCTCACAACCATTGCCTATTTGCACACACGCCTGCCTGGGGTATTCGCCTGGATTTTACAAGCACAATTTAGTCCCCTGTTTGCAGCCATTAGCTGCAAGAATCTGAGCTCTCTGTGGCATTTATAGCACTGTCTGATTCTGGCCATGAACAATAACAACACATTCAGTGAGCCAAATAACCTAAGTGCTCCACTAACCAACCAAGAAATCTACAAGGGAAACAATCAACTGTTCTTAACCTTTTAGACCAACAACTCTTTTAACTCTTCCCACACCTTGGGCTCCTGAATGAATTTAGCCCAGAAATAGATACCTTTATTCAGCAAAAAAACCCTGTGTTAACGATGAACTCTCCAAGGTATCACAATAAGCCACACCATGAAATAAAGTTTGGAATATGCACTTTAAAGAAAACAAGAAGAGACGAGGCTATTTGGTTTATTGTATTTGATGTGTAATTGGAGCTGGGAATTTCAGCAAGGTGGGTGCATTAGCTGGCTTGTTCTGTTTGCCTTAGTACCAGGAAGGTGACTCTAGGTTAGCTAAAGGAATTGATTTCAGAGAGGAAGTCGAATCCCATAGTGCGGGGGTATCAAACTTATTTGGCCACCTGCAGGGTCCAATCTGGACTGCAGGGCTCTTGGCAGGCCAGATCCAGACCCCCCTCCACCAGAATTCAGTGGCTGGACCCTCTGGGTATCCGACCCCTCCAGGACCCCCATGGACCTGGTGACATGGCTCCATGGGTCAGAGCCAGCCCATGGTCTGCATGTTTGCAACCCCTGGCAGTGGAGAATGTGTGTGTGTTGTCAATGAAGACAGTGTCAGGGCTTCCATTCCCTCCCGCAGCACAAGATCCGTGCAAAGCCACCGGGCTTGGTTTTTCATCGCTCTATATCTTGCTTCAGTACCACATGGGTCTGTTAGGCTACCAAATAAGCCAGAAGTGCTTTACACTCACTAGCACAAGGGGACACAACACCATCCTCCATTCCCATATTGCTAATTGAAAACAGGAGTGTTGGCTAGGTGTGAAATGTGCTAGGGCAGAGGTTTTTGGTGCTGCGGGCAGGATGAATGACTAGGCTACACATATAATATTGATTAGGATGAATGAATGCTCACAGTTCAGCATGATGAGGGATCAGGTTCCTGGTAGCTCCATCAAAGTCCATAACCAGGCTGCAGTGTGTTCTCACAACTCCACACAAGGATAGGTGTCAGCAGCATCCTTCGCACTTGAGAATAACTCTCCATGTGAGCAGGCTCTGTTCACCCCTTTGCTTCACCCAGCAATGAGCTGAAGGTGGCCATGACTCTTCTCACACTGGCCCACAGGGCAGGGAGATCAATGTGCCCAAGCCGGATGGGTGGCACTGGGTGTCCCAGCCCTTCCTGGCATGCACCAGGCAAAGTCACTGCAGCACAGTTTGGCCCAGGTCTGTCACAGGCCAGGGGCTTTGTACCCCTGTGCAGGGCTTTGGAGGCATTGCTTGTCTCTTATGCTAGATTTAGACCTAAGGAACAGCAATCAGCACCCAGCCGTTAAAGGATTAATTTTTGAAACATGATCAAGAACACACCAAGCTAGGCAAGGAAGGAGGGGCACATGTTGTCTATCTAAGAGCATCTGAAACATGCATATTCTAGGGCTGGGGAGGATTTGATGAGTGTAATGCAAGGCATAAGATCTAAGAGCAAAAGACAGAACTGGGCAAAGGGAAATTGAAAATGGTAAGCAGGGGAAATGTCCTGATGAGGACACCTCTGAGGTTATGAAACTGACTCCCAAAGGATGGCATTCAAGCCTCATGGGTGACACAAATAACAAATGGACTGGGCTAAAACTTAAGGAGCTATGTGGCCATCTCACACCAGCCTAGCTTAGAATTGGGGTGGGTGGGACAGACACTCTGGTCAGCCGTTGCTAGCTCTAAATGCCATGGGTGATTCAGCAAACCATGGGCAGGAAGGCAGGGCAGCAGGGAATAACAGTTGAGATTCATACGTGGTTAGAAGACCAAGAAAAGACCTTGGCCCTGAAGCTAGACAACATTGTTTTTGGTTGACTAGTAAATTTGACCCAAAAAAGGACATTTCCAGGGGGCATTATTTGTGGAACATGGTGGAATTCAAGAAACAAAAGGGGCAAATGCCAGTATTTTGAATGTCAATATGAAAAATGGTTTGAAATGCTGGTTTTCATGTAATATTGTCCTAATTTTAAAGAAGAAGAAGAAAAGAAGAAGAAGAAGAAAGGTTTTCAAAACAGGTTAAATAACCTGAAAACAAAACGTATCTGTGTGGGTCAAAAAAAACT